CCACATTCCCACCCCTACAGCCTCACTTTTTAAGTCATTTCTTGGCAGGGTAGGGGGGGAGAAGGGGAGGAAAGTGAGAAAAACAAGGGCAGGGATAGCAATGTTTGTTAAAAAATGTACTCATTACCTTACTTATGTAATTGTAACCCCTCTGTACATCACCCTGATATAAAATAAAATAAATAAAAATTATTTATTTTCCTTCTCTTTTTTTTTTTTTGGTTGGTCGTCAGATTGTACTCTGGGCTTGGGCATGTCCCTGAACTCTTCAGCTCAAGGCAAGTACTTTAGCACTTGAGCCACAACACCACTTCCAGTTTTCTGGTGGTTAATTGGAGATCAGTCTCACAGACTTTCCCACTGAGATCCTATCTCAGCCTCCTGAGTAGCTGGGATTGTAGGCATGAGCCACCATCATCTGGCTTCTCTCATTTTTTAATGCCAGTCCTGGGGCTTGAACTCAGGGCCTGGGCACTGTCCCTGAGCTTCTTTTGCACAAAACTAGCACTCAACCACTTGAGCCACAACGCCACTTCTGGCCTTTTCTGTTTATGTGGTGCTGAGGAATTGAACGCAGGGCTTCATGCATGCAAGGCAAGCACTCTACCACTAAGCTACATTCCTAGCCTTATTTTTCCTTTTTTATCATTCTTCTGGTATCAACTTTTCTCCATTTCATTTCTTCATTCTGTGTGAATTCTCTATTCTCTTAATGATTAATCAATCTTGTTTACGCTAGCTTTCCATTGACTTCTCCTTAAGAAAAAAGAAAAAGCAGATGAAATTGCCCTCATGACTTGTGTGTTAAGAAATAAACCTTTTCTGCTTATGCAGGATCCTGGCCACTGAGGATTAAGAGTACAAAAGCTAATTGTAAAATCTCAACTAAGGCATGAACAGGACAGGCTTTGTGTTTCTAGGCTTTTCAATCCCCTGTACAGGTACCTGAGCTTGTTTTTGACGTTTGGTGTCTCAGCTACAATGCCAGCATAAAGCCAGACCTGATTCCCATCTTTGTACTTGGCTACCACGCGACTGCCCACATAGAGCTTGTCAGCAGGAGGGTGGTAATCATAGGCAATATGGTTCCCTGACAGCAGACTCTTTCCTTTGTTGTCAAATTTCACCTTGTATTTCTTCCCTGGTCCTAGGTAAAAAGAAAGACAAATTAAAATTTAAAAACAGTTTCCATGTAAGTCCTGACTTCTATGTAAGAAGAAAGGAAAGACTATAGGGAAAAGAAACTATCAGCAAAGGAGACTAATAGGCCACCTTTCGTTAGTCCTTCCTCTAGCTTGAACATACCAACTGTCTGGATAGCAATAAGGGTGCCTTTGTGCCATGTCTTGGTTCTCTTCTTGCCCAAAATCCGCATACTGACTATCAGGTCACCATCTTTGCTCAGTTCTCCAGACATGGGACTCAAAGTTCCTATGGAGAAAAGTGAAGTTGTTCTAAAAAGTGACACCACAAATGGGCAGTATGGTATCAAATAAAATGAGGTAACCCTCAGTCATTTTTGTTGAATTCTTGTTAAAGAAACTTAAGACATAAATAACTATTTATGCTAACAGGTTAGGCTTTAATGACTACTAAAGACAATGAATCTAGAATATCACAATCAGCAGACAAAAGACAAGCAGACAAGAGAAACAAATGTGGACATATGACCAACAGTGGTAAAAGAAACTGATACAGGACTCGGAAGGTAGCTCAGTGGTAGAGCGCTTGCCTTGCATGCATAAGGGCCTGGGTTGGATTCCTCAGCACCACATAAGCAAAAAGAAAAAAAGCTGGAAGTGGTGCTGTGGCTCAAGTGGTAGAGCGCTAGCCTTGAGCTGAAGAGCTGAAGGACAGTGCCCAGGCCCAGAGCTGGCCCCACTACCGGACCCCGCCCCCCCCCAAAAAAAGAAACTGATACAGGGGCTGAGAAGGTGGCTCAGTGGTAGAGTGCTTGCTTGCCTTGCATGCATGAGGCCCTGGGTTTGATTCCTCAGCACTACATAAGCAGAAAAAGCTGGAAGTGGTACTGTGGTTAAAGTGGTAGAATGCTAGCCTTGAGCTGAAGAGCTCAGGGATGGTGCCCAGGCCCAGAGTTCAGGCCCCAAGACAGACAAAAAGAAAAAAAAGAAAAAAAAAAAAAAGAAACTGATACAGATAGGAAGGAATTTCATAATCATGAAATCACTGTGAGAATTCACCTCCCATCTATACCCAGGTACTCCTGGACCCTAACCTTTATGCAGACCTTGGGAACTGCTCTTCTTATTGACAGCATCCATGAACTTCTGGACATCTTGAGCTGATTTTCTCAAGGCAGCCATAGCTTCACGAAGCTGCAGGAATGTGGATAAAGGACATAAACTTTAACAGGATAGTTTAGAAATAATGTGAGAGAACTAAATAGTTTAGAAATAATGTGAGAGAACTAGAGGCAACAGCTCAGTGGCAGAGTACTTGCTGTTAACTAACAACAAAAAGCAGGTTTTGGAGGTGGGGCTAACCTTAAGCAAAACAGCCAAGCAAGAACTAAAGACCATGAGTTCAAGCCCTAGTATTGGTGCACAGGTGTGTGCATACACACACACAAACTTGAAAATAAGAAATACCTCTTTAAAAAAATAAAATGGAGGGGCTGAGAAGGTGGCTCAGTGGTAGAGTGCTTGCCTTGCATGCCAGAGGCCCTGGGTTTGATTCCTCAGCACCACATAAGCAAAAAGAAAAAAGCCGGAAGTGGCGCTGTGGCTCAAGTGGTAGAGCGCTAGCCTTGAGCTGAAGAGCTGAGGGACAGTGCCCAGGCCCAGAGTTCAGGCCCCACGACCGGACCCCCCCCAAAAAATATAAATAAATAAAATAAAATGGAATCAATTATATTTGGAAAATACAGTTATATCAAGCAAAAACTGCCCTGTTTTAAAAAACCACTTAGAAATTAACTTTACAAAGCTCTACTGAATCTTTCCTAGCTGAGCCCCGTTGTATTTGGTATCTTGGTAACTTTTCCATTATTTTGGGAGTCAGTCATGGGGCTTAAACTCAGGGTGTGGGCACTGTCCCTAAGCTCTTTTTGCTCAAGGCTAGCCCTCCTATTAGGGAGCTACAGTGCTACTTCCAGTTTTTAAGTAGTTAACTGGAGATAAGAGTCTCAGGAATTTTCCTGCCCCCATTAGTTTGAACCTTGATCCTCAGACCTCAAGCCTCCTGAGTAACTAGGATTAAAGGCACGAGCTACCAGAGGTTAGCCTTTTCCTTTTTGTAATGTCTACCAGAGGACTGTCAACTGCGGGGCTCATCAGAGCATGAATGACTGGTGGCTAATTTTTTTTTTCTAGTCCTGGGACTTGAACTCAGGGCCTTGACTGTCCCTAAGCTTATTTTGCTTAAGGCTAGTGCTCTACCACCAGATCCACGGTGCCACTTCCAGCTTTTTTCTGAGTAGTTTATTAGCGATAATAGTCTCATAGACTTTTCTGCCTGGGCAGACTTCGAACTGTGATCCTCGGATCTTATCGATCCTCAGATTTTTAGCTCTGAGTAACTAAGATTAGAGGAAGAAGCCACCAATGCCCCGGGCTAATTTCTTAACCTTTCTTATCCATCCCAACTCACCTTCTGGTCTTTGGGAGTTCTACTCCCAGCATCACCTATGGAAGAGAAGAATTCTATGAGTGTAAGAGACTTAATACAAAAATTTCCAAAAATTCAATAAATAGTGACTTAAAAGTATAGTAACAAAAGCATTAATGGTAATAGCCAAAAACAAATTAAATAAAAACATATACACAAAACCAGGTGCTGGTGGCTCAAGACTATAATCCTAACTACTCAGGTAGGTAACAGATCTGAGAATCATAGTTTGAAGACAGCCTGGGCAGAAAAGTCCAGGAGACTCTTATCTTCCAATTAATCACAAAAGGCTGGAGATGGAGCTTGACTCAAGTGGTATGGAGTTTACCTTGAGCAAGAGTAGCTTAAAAACAGAGTCCAAGCCAGGACCAGCATTAAAAGAAGAATAAGTAAAAAAAAGCAACTCAAGAAGTGGAACTATGGCTCAAGTGGTAGACTGCCAGTCTTAAGCAAAGAAACTTAGGGGCAGTGCCAGACCTTGAGTTCAAGCCCAGAACTGACCCAAGTAGAAAACAAAACAAACAAACAAACAAAAAGACCCACTGGGTGCTGGTGGCTCAAGGCTGTAATCCTAGCTACTCAGGAGGCTGATATCTTGAGAATCTCGATTCAAAGCCAGCCTAGGCAGGAAAATCTTTGATCTCCAATTAACCACCAGAAAACTGGAAGTAGCACTGTGGCTCAAGTGGTAGAGTGCTTGCCTTTTTGTTGTTGTTGTTTTGCGCCCGGTCGTGGGTCCTTAATTCTGGGCCTGGGTGCTGTCCCTCAGCTCTTCACCTCAAGGCTAGCTAGCGCTCTACCACTTGAGCCACAGCACCACTTCCGGCTTTTTCCCCCCTGTTTATGTGGTGCTGAGGAATCGAACCCAGGGCTTCATGCATGTAAGGCAAGCACTCTACCACTGAGCCTGGTTTGTTTGTTTTTTTAAATACCGTACAGAGAGGTTACAGTTACATGAGTAGGGTAATGAGTACATTTCCTACCGAACATTGTTACCCCCTGTGATTTTCCCCTACCATCACTTCCTTTCCCACCTCCCCAGCTCCTCCCTCTCTCTCCTTTTTTTTTTT